GCAGGCGGGGCGGCCGGCGGCAGCCGGAGGTGGCAGCAAGGGCCTTTGCAAGAAGAGAGAAAAATATATTCTAAAAGAAAAACCTAAGCTCTGATACCATGTTGTGATTCAGGAATTGTGTGTATTGTTGTACACATACCAATCTTATTTATAGAGTGAATACAATAAATGATAGAGATACTAATCTCTAATATTATGGAAACTAATCTAATCATATCCCTAATTGATAGTGAGGATAATAACCATAATATATGTATCCACAATATCTGTAATATATTCACAATATCTGTAACATGACCAAATGAAATGAGAATAAGAAGATTGAATTGGCGTGCGAATTCTCCTAGAGAAGGAGAAACAAGCAAGTGCACTACTCCACAAGGTCGGTTTCCTTGTTGCAAGTGCTTAAGGAGAATGATTATCCAATGAGAACTTTGAGAGAGAAAGGAGAGAATTTTGAAAAATAGAATGCTCATATACTCAAAAGGGATGCACAAAATGTAGAGAAAGACCTTAAATAGATCTAGGTGGCTGGCTTATAGGAGAAGCTGGCTTAACCAAAGGTTCAAAATGAACCAAGATTAGCTAACTAAGGTCGGTTGGCGTGCCAATTTGAATTTGAAATTCAAATTGGTTGGTGAACCTTCCCTCCACCTTGGGCTCCCATGTGCACTTAGATCTAGGATTGAATTGATGTATTTGAATGCCATGTGATGTACATTTGCATTTGAATTTAGAAGCCCATGTGCGCTTAACCACATGGTCGGCCACATGTGCTACTAATTCAAATCAAATGTGTGTCTAGGTCCAAATGAGCAATTTAAATCCTAAGGCCCAACAAAACAACCTATACTACTTGGCCTAAGAAATATAAAGCTCACAAATTCTACACTACAAGGTCCAAAATACAAGGCCTAAAAATACAAGCGCAATCAAGGCCTAAAGTCCTACTACAAGACCCACAATACAAGGCCTAAAATAAAGAAAAGTATTGGACTTTAAGTAATAGCCCAACTCAAGAGGAGCTTAGGCCCATTGACTTCAACACAAGTTCAATCCTCCTACATCCTTCTAGCCATGACCTTAGTGGTGGGTCCCATGGCTATGCTTCTACCATCAAACCCACACAACCTCAACCCTAAACATACTCATTAATTAATTGTCTTGGCATTGCTTAAATGTAAAAGCAATGGGATCAAGGCCTTTTCTACAATTGTGATGACAAGTTCATTGGTGACCATCAATGTTCCTACACTCAATTTTCTAGTTTTAATGGTAGTTAACTCAAAGGACGACCAACTCAAACCATGTACATGACATTATTATCGATTTTGTACTTGGAGGTTGATACTATTCATTTCCAACTTTTTGCCCAAGCTTTCACAAGCCAACCATCACCTCCAACACTTAAATTTAAGTGTTTTGTTACACCTACTTGTTACTCCAACTTTCCCATTTTCATCTATGGTAAGGAAGGACCACCATATTCAATATAGATGGATGTGCTCTATATTTCATCTTAACCTCCAATTTGTTGACTTTCTATCAGGTACTAAAGTAACAAAATAATATCTTACAACTAAAATACGAGGAAAAAAAGAGGGACAAAAGAGACAATGGACAAAAGAGGACCTTCATTAAGTGGAAGAAATTACAACACTTCTCTCTAAACTCTAGGACAACACAAGGACACTCTCTAGAAAATAGGAGAATACCACTACTTAGAGAAACTCTCTCAAAATAGACAAAGAGAATATATAAAGAAAGGAAAGGAAAACACTGGGATAAGATTGTAGGAAACCATAAGGCTTTATTTATAGACTAAGTTTGCGTACCCACGAGTCAAAACTCACCAATGAGGGACTTTACACTTAAGAATTCTCTCACTTGAAGATTATGATTGAGCTAATAATAAAATTATGTTACTTAAGTTTTTTATAGGCCAAAAGAGGATTGACACCATAAAACGATTAGCTTTGTCATCACATATGCTATGTTGTGTTAAGTGTGAATCTTCTCCATATCCACACTTCCTTTCTGTACTATTTCTCAAACAAAGTGGTATTTTATACCTATGTGCTTTGTTTTGGAATGAAAGGTTGGATTCCTTGCAATGTGCAAGGCACTCTGATTGTCACAATATAATAGTCTTCTACTGCTTGTGTCCAAGTTCCTCCATTAGTCTTTAAATCTGGGTTACTTCCTTGCATGCCTGAATAGTTGGCATGTATTCAGTTTCTATACTTGATAGAGCTACAAAAATTTGTAACTTGGACAACCAACTTACTGCCCCTCTTGCAAGTATAAACACATAGCTCGTAGTAGACTTTCTTTTATTGCGATTGTTGGTAAAATTTGACTTGACATTGCCCGTGACTACAATTTTTGATCCTTCAACACATAACCCAACATCTAGGGTTCCTTTGATGTGTTTAAGGATCCTCTTAATGACATTCCAATTCTCTCTATTAGGATTTGTCATATATCTATTGACCGCTCCCAGTACTTGTGCAATGTCTAGTCTTGATCAAATTATGACATACATAAGGCTTTCCACTGTTTATGCATACAATACTTGAGACATTGATAGGACTTATACTTGGGGGATATTTTTACAATAGATAGGAAGTGGGGTAGAAATTGACTTATAGTCTTGCATGTTGAAGCCTTGCAAGACTTTTTGTATGTAATTATTCTGAGAAAGCCAAATCTTCGTGTCTTTTAGGTGTCGGTAAATTTGCATTGCGTCCCTAAAATTTTGTTTATTGGTTGCAAGTCCTTCATATCAAACTCCCTAGCCAACTATGCCTTTAGTTCTTGAATTTGATCTTTGTTGGAGCCTATCACTAACATTTCCACATTCAACAACAAAATGATGAAATCATTGTCATTAAACCTATTGTAGTACATACAATGGTTTGAACATAGCCTATTTAGTACCAATAATGAAGGAATCAAATCTCTTGTACCATCATCTTGACGCGTGCTTTATACCATATAGAGATTCAGTTAACATGCAAACCAAGTTTTCTTGTTCTTTAAAGCCTTTTGGTTGGAGCATATAATTTCCTCTTCAAGTTTTCTATGGAGAAATATTGGAAAAAATCCAAGTCCTACATCGATTATAGATAAGACAATTAAAGAGTATATAAGTGGAGGGAAACCCTCACCATAAAAGCCAATTTTGTAGAGTTGAGTTAGGCTCAAACCACTTTTCTAAGACGGTATCAGAGCTATCTAGATCTATTCTAAATTAGCCATCCACCATTGATACACGCACCAAGTCTAATGGTGTTGGGCGTAAGGGGGTATATTGGAAAAAACCCAAGTCTAGCATCGACTAGAAATAAGGCAATTAAAGAGTATATAAGTGAGAGCAACCCTTACCATTAAACTAGTTTTGTAGAATTGAGTTAGACCCTGTTGAGAGAAATGGTAAATGGAGAGAACATACTCCTTGTGTATTGCAAAGCAAAAGATGTGTT